ACAACCACTTTACTTCATTCCTTCTCTTATTTCTCAACATTATGGATCAGGTAGAAATGGAGTCACTATCAGGAACGAAAATCCATCCTCCTTATTCACCCAGATGGTGTCAGTCAGAAGGATTTTTCTTTTTTCTTTTTTTTCTTTTTTTTTTTTTTGGCAGTGTTGGGAATTGAACCCAAGTTCTTGTACATGTTAAGTACCACTGAGCTATATCCCCAAATCTCCAGGAAGATCTTATCACAATCCCGAAGTGTTCACAGAATAAAACAGAGCTTTATGCTTAGGGATTCAGGATCATTTGGAGAAGGATGCTGGTGGGAGGAGAATATTTGGCCCCCACTGCTCTCCAAGGCTCTTAACTTCCTTGACAAAGGAGTATGATAGAGAGGGGGCTTGCCCCAGTGTCCCAGTTCTCAAGCTTATTAGACTACTTCCACTTCTCCAGGTGTCAATACAGGGGAAAGATCAGTAAAATTTGGAGTGTGGGTTATCAGGTAACCAACTTAGTTAAAAAGATTAGGAAGAACTTCCAAAGAGGAAGAAGCACACAGAGGCAAGACAGAGAAAGTATTTGTGTGAAGGAAAAGGGAAGAGAGAGATTTGAGCAGAGTGAGTGCAGTCCTCTGGGGACATATATGACTCAAACGTGTATGGGAACAAGGGAAAGGGGAGGGGGACAGGTTTCTGCTATCCTGTCATTCTATCCCTAGACCCCAAATTCCAATCTTCTGACACCAATGACTAGAGACTCTGGACCTCAGCAGATCAGATACCATCCCCATTCTCTTCCACCGCATCCCCATTTCCCCAGTAGCCAAGTTCCAGATGGAAGGAACGACACTGTGGTTGGGATGCCTTCCTCTCTGTTGCAGTGCCAGCTGATCCCGACTGCCACGGGGCCCATACAAGAGAAGGGATAATGAGAGGCAAGATCCCAGCACTCTTCACCCAACCAACACATCTTGCTGAAGCAACACTTCTCAGAAGTCCAGACATCCAGGGTCTCCAATCCTGCGATTCCCCACAATCTTCCCAGCATGCTGGACAATGCAGCAGAATGAAATGGTGTTACCATAACACCTGGGAGTCTCTGGGTTCCCCCAGGACACCCCACCAGTTGAAAGGTTCCTTCTGGCTACTCTTCAGTCCCTCCGGAGTGCCTCAGGTGGTCGGCACCCACAACCTCCCATCGGAAGGATCACAGAACACCTAAGAAGCCATCTAGATCTTCTCCCAGAGGAGTTCCCAAAGATGTCAAATTCCTAAACCAGGGGCAGTCTGGGAAGGTCTCCTAGAACCGTACTGAAAGTTGGTTATTTTCTCCTTCCACCTCCTCCACCTCCCCAGCGTGACCCGTGGGTCCTCCTAGGATCGCTCCCCTCCCCCACCCCACCTTTCAGGCACCTGTGGCAGAATCCAAGCAGGATGAGGCGAGGGGTGAGGCTCCGGGTGTTGGCTCTGGGGAGGCTAGGTCAGAGCTGACACCTCCTGGGCGAGGATCCCTGTTACCTCTGAGAACCGTCCAGGGCTGCGCCCCGCCCCTGGGCCATTTCTGGGCGCTGAGTGTGGAGGCTCCAACCCGCTGAGCGCAGAGTCCTGAAGCTGGCTGGAGCACCGGACTGGTCTCTGAAGCCCTCGGT